CCATGCTAGTCGCTAGCCTCTCCAATGCTAACACCAGCTTATCCATGCTAGTCGCTAGCCTCTCCAATGCTAACACCAGCTTATCCATGCTAGTCAGTAGCCTCTCCAATGCTAACACCAGCTTATCCATGCTAGTCAGTAGCCTCTCCAATGCTAACATAAATGAATAGTCTTCTCATGTGCCAGCACCGGCCTCTCAGTTAGCGGTGTCAGCCTATCATTAATCAGTTCAGTAGCTAGTTTAGGAATAGATATATTCTCCTGCCACGAGGATGGAGCAACAATAATCTTAATTTTGATCGTCATACGGCACCATCATGGTTGTTTTTCAGTGTGTGGTTTCACGCCTTTGTTTACTTCCTCTTCAGGGTTCAACGTGGGCCGCAGCGCTGGTGGGCGCTCCACGGTGCGAGAGATCAACAGGGACGCCTGCCACTTCCCAGGATTCCCTGTTCTGCAGACTCTGCTGCCCAAACACACCAACGTACCCGAGCTTTACTTCCTGCTCATGGCACTTTTCCTGCAGCAGCCCGTCACCGAGCTACCAGACAGCCTGCAGGTACATGTTAGTATACCCGCATTTCTTTTCTTTGAACTTTATTATCATTATTATTGGCTGCTGCACTTAAAAGAATTTGTGGGGTCAAAATAAATGATACGTTTAAATCTTTTTTTCTTTTTTATTTTGGTGATTTCCTGCTTATTTTGTGGACCTGCAACGTGTTGTGGTTGTGTGGTGATGAAGTTTTGGCTTGACTGCAGTGTGAACACATGCAGACATCTAATTTAGGGGGTGGAGCATCCTCTGTAATATTTGGGGAAATTAACATTTTATTATGAAATTATTTCAAAGTACACAGCAGTAACTTGTTGTAAACAGTGAGGGAGCACAGGTGGCAGGCAGTTTTAATAAATGCATGCGTGTGTGTGTTTGTGTGTAAATTACTCCAGTTTGTGTGTTTGTCCTTTCAGTTTGACCTGGACTCCATCTGGACCTTCATCTTCGGGATGCCAGCCTCCAGTGGGACGGTGGTGGGCTCCATCCACAGCGTGTGCACCGAGGCGGCCTTCCTGCTGCTGGCCATGCTGCGCAGCATGCTCAATCTGGTGAGGGAGCTCCGCCCACCGCTTTAATCTGAATATTCTGAGAAACACATGCTAACTTTTATTTTTAAAAAAAGGAAAGAATGTAGAGCTTTTTGTTGTTTTATATTATCAAGCTGCTCCAAATTCAGTTTATAGAAGAGGGTCTCGTTCTTTAGTTACTTATTAGATCTTTTTTCAAAAGCTGTTTTTCACATTCTTTTTGGAAAACTCCTAAAGTAACAGTTTTTTTTTTTGTAAAAAACCATTTGAAGGAACCTGAAACAATCTGGTTTTGATCGTTTTAATCCAAGAAGCAATAATAACTAGACATGGGTTTTTACGATGTAAAAACAAGTGTGCATTGCCACGTAGCATGTCATTGCAGCATGGCTTTGCCTTCAGCATTGGACTTGCAAAATGAACTTTGACCAAGTTCAAATGTGTTTTCTATACCACCTTGTGCCTGTCACGTCAGCAGTTGTTCAGAATTAAGGTAATTGTGCGACAATATGAAGTTTGAAGAGATTTTTTCTTGAAGTTGCATTAGCTGGGTTTTGAACCATGATCTCCCACATGGAGGTGCATGACATAGACCATTAGACCAATGGAGCTGTGGCAGAACGTGGTGACGGGTTGGTTTGTATGTGTGCAGAAAGAGGCCAGATTGCCAATACAATTATTGACACTAAACTGCATAATATTACAACAATAGAGCAGTATTAAGACAATATTATAGTAAAACATCAAAATACTATCATATTAGTATTGTAAACACTGAACTATTGAGATTAAATATTAAAAAACTATGGTGCAGTACCAAGTTGAGTACAGCTGGGGACAGTATTGGACCATTACAAGGCCCCATTGACTCCGACAATTGACTGATATGAATTTGGAATAAAGTTTCAACATTAATATTTCAAAAACTACAAGTGGTACAGGCAGCAAAAGGCATAGCAATCATTTGGCACAGGACCTTTACAGACAGAACCATTACAATGGCAGCTGTAGGACAATGTATGCAGGAGGATTGGACTTTCAGAATGAACTTCGACCAAGTTCAAATGTGTTTTCTAAACCAGCTTGTACCTGTCACGTCAGCAGGTGTTTATAATTAAGGTAATTGTGTGACAATATGAAGTTTGCAGAGATTTTTATTAAAGTTGCAGTAGCTGGATTTGAACCCTGATCTCCCGCATGAAAGCCCACAGTGCTCATCATGAGACTATAGGAGATGTGGCAGAGGACAATCCCAGGGATTGGATTGTATGTATACAGAAAAAGTTTACCTTGCCAATGCAATTATTGACACTTAAGTGCAATATATTACAGCAATAGAGCAATATTAAGACATTATAGTAAAACATCAAAACACAATCATATTAGTATTGTAAACACTGAACTACTGAGTTG